AAAGGGGGAGCGGAGGAGCCAACCGCTTCCGAAGCCCCTTCCTGCCAGAGCCGGGCACCGCCCCCGCTCCTGTGGAGGCGGGTGACAACGCGCCGGCCTCGGCGCCCCGAGCCCCTGTCAGGAGACGCGTTTGATGGAAGGGCTGCTTTTCTGCTGCTTAAAGCAGGGCCCTGTCTCGGCGGAGGGAAGGCTGCCTTCCTCAGCCCCCCGGCGCAGTGCACGGAAAGGCCAGGCTATCCAAGGAGCCAAGGAGAAAATTCGAGCCTCCGCAAAAGGAGTGAAGCGGTCGAGAGAACGGCTGCACGAGCTCTGTTTGGCTCTCATCTGTAAGGACCCCAAGGCTGCTGCTGCCAGGTGACAGGTTTGGGTGGCTTTATCGAAGCCTCCAGAGCTGCTCAGCCACCAAGAATTAAAGCTTATATAGGAAAATAAATAAATAAACAAACCCCTCAGCCTCGCAGCCTGGCTCTGCCCTGGAGGACACACTGAAGCTTGTCACACGGGAGGGAGAGAAACTAAAGAGGAGTTTACTGGGAAAACTGCCTTCACATACTGTCAATTCTCACCTCCAGCAAAGGCTGCTGATCTGTTGGCTCCAAGCACTCAGCTTGCTACTGCTTTCCGAATGCCTTTGAGCTGGTAGAGCCAGTAATTCATCTCCCGTCAAGAGAGCAAAAGGCCAGAGTTCAGTGTGAATTCATAGCCAGGAAGACTTTACACTCAGCTAGGGAAAAAGGACCCAGAAAAACAACATGACCAGAGCTGACAGCACCCACGCTTTCAGCAAGAATCGAGGCAGCAATGAGGTCTCGGTGCCTTAACAGCAGGAAGAAATGAACCTCAGCCCACATGGGAGACTTGCTGCAAGAGTCTTGTCCAGTGGAACACGAATATAGTACCTGGAGCCTTTCCTGGTAGTTATCTGCAGAGATACATGGAACTTCATAGGTGCTCTCACTCAACAAGAACATGCCACCATTGAGCAGAACCTAACGAAAATAAACCTACCAATTTTTCACCCCTGAATTCAGTGATTATCAGGAAACTGTCATCGTTAAGCACCAAAAGACCTGAGCTGTCTGAAACCTGTTCTCCCTACCTATAGTGGTCCCTCCACACTCCAAATACGCTCAGATTTTAGTCTGCAAAAACACTGTGTTTTGGCTATTCATACTCTCATGTGATGTTTATCTTGCTTCATCATAGTTCTTTCTTGCAATGTTATGTACAGGACTTCTCCCAACACAGTTATCTCATACAGTTTAAAAACATGCAAACCAAAATACCATTTCATTCTGTGTACAGTTAAACAGAGGAACTCAATTGGCGCCAAATATTGCAGGCATGAAAGACAGAGTTCAGAAAGGGAGGAGATGACAACCCAGAACAAAGCCCAAAAGGCAATTAAACACTCAGCTGAAGCAACAGACGCTGGCCCAAAAGGGCCCTATGCTTCTGTCTGCATGAGGAATGAGCCAGTAGGAAAACCATTCGTGCTCACCACCCCCTTCTGTTTTCCTCCCCTCAGTATCTGCTAGTGAATATGTTAGAGCTCTCTCTCTGTGCCAAGGGCCCTTTGGTCCCATCCTGATGCTCTCAAAACTATGAGCAGAATTGGGCCATACCTGAAAGTCATCTGGAACACTTGGCCTTGGTTGACGTGCTGGGTCCTGTTGTTATAGCCGTGGAGCATCTCCCCAAAGAGGGTATCGTTGAATTTAGCATCTGACTTCAGGCACTTGGGGCCCTCGCAGATGTCGGACAACATGAGGCAGGACTTGCCATCCGGGGCCAGTTTGTACTCCTCAACACACCTGCAGAGGAGCCACAACCTGTGTTAGAAGGGCCTTGCACAGACAGCCCATGCGAGGCACAAAATGCAACCGAGAAAGAGCATCCTCGGTGGAGAGGACCAGGGTGTTCTGGCTTCTCCTGGAGCAGACACAGAGGCGGACAGCACTCTGGGCAGCTGGGAGCACTTGCCCCTGTTTTGAGGGGCAAAACTGACCATGGAGCTCATGACTGGTTCAGTCCTAACGCTCAGCTCCAACCCAGCTCATGGGCCCCAATACTGCTACAGAGACACCAGCGCTCCCCCTGCCCCAGCAAGAACAGGGAAATCTAGAGATGCTCCCCCTGCTTGCACATGGCAGCAATCAACAGACACACACATGCTTCCTGAAAGGAATCACCTCCAAAGTGGTTGCTCTTTTATTCCTTGGCTCCCCTCTCGAGCACTTTGGGGATAAAGTACCTTCTTATCTTCCACATACAGTAAGGGAAACTGAGACAAGCGGCAGGGATGCAACTTGGCTACAGACACCAAAGATATCACTGCCCTCTTTTGTGCATGTTTTCATGCCTCCTCGCTTTTCTCCTCCTTCTTTTCTCAGCACTGCAGCTCCCACTTGACGGGGAACCTTCCATTTCCCTTGTCCTACTCTTTCTCCCTGGGAACAGGCAGTTCTGCTGACGGGAACCTCACACCTAGCCACGCACGCTCCCTTCCCGCTTCCTTTCCTGCCTGCATGCTCCCACGCAGCTGTCACGCTGCCTTGCTGGTTCCCCAAGTGAAGCTCTGCCTTGCAGAAGGACGTTGCCAGCAGTGTGACTGCGGAGCGTCCTCTGCTCCACCCCACGAGCTGCTGGACCCTCCCTGGAAATGGTGCTTAGGCCCACATGGACTTCCCACCCCTGTGCAGCAGTCACAGAGGAGGCAACATGCTCTATCCTAGGGACGCAATTACTTTGTGCCAAAAAACAGTAAAAAAAAAGCTACTTTTAGGAATTTGCTTCCCCATTGCACATGGTCCATGACTCATATTTCATTGAAGGTCAAAGATTCCTTTTAGCAGGGACACATGGCATGTCCTGAGGAGGGCTTGGGGAGATGGAGTGGGACTGGGCCCTGGAAAGTGTCTCCCTCATCCACTGGCGCATGAGGGTGTCCTTTACAGTCTCCCTTGGCCTTGGTGGCACCCCTGGCCCTCAGCCCATGGCAGCTTACTCTTCTCAAAGGCTGCTTCTTGGGCTCAAGACACTTGTCAGCCGTCCTCTCTCTGGTGTATTTGCTGCATCGCAAGGGGACTCCTCTTGCCTCCCCGCGTGCCCGTTCAGGGAGTCTGCACAGGGATTGCAGAGGGTGGCGATACGGATGGGACACGGGCGGATGGACAAACCTGCCCATTCTTGCCCATTCTTCTGCACAACCCTCTCCTGCGGCTACTTCCCTCCCGCCCAGGCTCCTTTCCCCTCCCGGTCCCTGATCCTCACCCCAAGGACACAGAGCAGGTGGAAGGTCCCTGTGACCCAGCAGATGGATGCTCTCCGCAGAGCCCCTGCGCTGGGGCTGCTCGTGGGACAGCGCGCGTGACCGATGACTGTTCCTGCAGCTGTGCAGGGCAAAGCCAGATAATCACTGAGCTCCTTTTAGAACATACTGCAGTCCCGGAGATTTTCCTTAGACAAAATGCTAAATTGTGTAGGATTATAGGATCCTGGCCAAAACCAGGGATGAAACTATTTTAAGAAAAGCACATAAAAGAGGGTTTTTTTTTCTTAAAAACAAAACAAAGTCCCCCGCCTTCCCCCTCCAACATGCAATACACAGTTCTATCATACATTTACAACCTCTACATCCACAGAGTCCTGGTGGGGGGAGATGAGGAAAGTGCATCTGTCCATCTGCTCACACTGCTGCTCACATCCCCTTTTGCCTAGAGGCAAACCAGGTGCCTAAATTCTCTGCTGGAAGCTGGGCACGTGCATGAACAAGGCCACTTGCAGCTACACAACTAACCTCTCTGCCGGGTGCACACAACATGCCCAGACCCCTCGCAAGACCTGCCAGTTTGGAGGCACGGGTGGCACAGAAGGATAGCTGGCAGGAAGGAAACGGGAACCTGCAGTACGGAGCTGCTGCTGGGCAAAACCAGCGCCCTGCAGGGACTCACCCGCAGAACATGAAGATGGTGCTGGACGAGGGGTCATGCGGCAGGGGAAGGGTCTGCTGGAGGCAGAGCTGCTCGCAGCCGCCGTTGAAGCCATCGGAGCAGTCGATCCCTTTGGAGTAGTCGTAGCACCCGGTGCCGTCCTTCATGGGCCTCAGGTCCTCGGGACACTGCAGCGAGAGAGGGGACACGGGTCAGTAACGGGTGCAGCCCCATAGGCACCTCAGAGCCCCAGCCCCTGTCTGTCCTCCCAAAGGAATTCTGCTGCCAATCCAAGGAGCGGGGTTTGTCCCAAGCATGACGGAGCAGCCCAGATGGCCACTACCCTGCCCCAACTCACCTAACTTTTAGGGAAAGGCAAAGGATCCCAAGAGGGACCTGTTCTTCTACAAAACTCACTTTCACCAGCCTTACTCAGGAGAAAGCTAAAATTCCCAACACAGCAAGATTACACTTCCATGGAGCCCTGAGGGGCTAGTCATGACAGCCTGCTCTATAACACACTATAGAAACCCTTTACCATTTATTTATCAGCGCCTTTATTTTTCCAGCTATACTTTAATTAATGACTGCAGCAGCTTGGTCTCTACAGTCATTTCCAAACCCGTGTCGAGGAGCAGCCCTTGGTGCTGCCTGGCTATCTGCAAGAGCAGAGGAAGGGCTGCGGGAGGACGGGTCTCTGCTGAGACCAGCCAGGGGACCACGCTGACCCGCAGAAGCTGGGGATTTGGCTCTGGGTTTTAATTTCAACTCCCCAGCTACTTTTCCTCCTCCCAAAAGATAAAAAACAGCAGCCAGGAAATGTCGTCAATAAATTATCACCCAGATTAAAGCACTCTTCTATTCCACCCTAGTTATTTATCCCTTTTCACCAAATGCGCACAAAACAACAACAAAAAGGCCAGGCCTTGAAGAAATAGATAAATCTTGTCTGGGAGCAGCTCACAATTAAAAATGCATTATGGAACTTCTTCAAGATGAGCTAGACTGGAGCTTGTACAGGTAGTGATGAAGGGAGGTTATAAATGGCCTCTGTCAAGCAGAAGAAAGGTTATAAAACCACTATACTTCGTGCTTAAAAAAGAAAATCAATTTTCCATGCGAGCAAAATGCTGCACATATTAATAAAAGTTCAGGAGATCCTGGACCCTGTTCTTGCTGCCACAGGCAGGTGCCCGACGGGAGACCGGCCACCAAGCCTTGCCCACCGACGTCCCTCAGCTCCTGCTGGCGCAGGAGGCGACCTCCCTGCATTGTATATTAGCAACATGTTTGAGGGAGCCCTGGACCACCACGTGCAAGTGATGAAAAGGCCTTTTGTCACGTCCCAGAAAGACAGGGCCACGGCCTGGCATGAGTTTGCTTTTCCCCATAGCAGAAGCGCGGCTGCTGCTTCAGCACAGCCCAGGTGACGTCTTGCGCTCCGTGCTCTGGCCACTTGGCCCTGCTCTGGCCACTCGGCCCTCAGCGCAGCTGCAGGAGCTCAGGCAGCCCTCAAACCTCAGCATCCTCCGTGCAGCTCTGGAGCAGGACAGGGCACAGCGAGAAGGGAAAGCAGACAGGCAGCAGGCTTTTCCAGCGAGAGCAGCGAGGAACAAGATGCAATGGCCCTGGATGCCTCCGCCTTCATGCAGCACGAAAGGCAGAGACCAAAGGGTGCTGGCAGGCAGCGCTGGAGCCAGCAGCCCTCCCTAGGCCCGAAGCAGCGGCAGGCGAGGGAGGAGGAAGCTCTCTAGATGCGTGCGCAGAGTAAACAAGGACGAAGGGCTGCTAGGAACGATCTGTGCATTTCACTGCCGAGCAGGATAATTGCGTTTATAAATCCACATATATAAATAATACTGCATCTACTGCAGTCTCCTTCCGCTCTGCGGGCACCACTGCTAAGAGATGTGAAAATTGGCAGAAATGTATCTCCCAGGAGGACTCCGAGTTGAGCACAAACAGCTCTGCACATGCCCTGGCACCACATCCACTTCTCAGCTCCGGGGCAGCGAGGTGCACGGGCAGCACTTTGCCAAGGTGCGTTGGAGAGCTCTGTGCTTCCAAGTCTGCCCCACTTAGCAGGGCTCTGCACAAGGTCCTCCCGGAGTTCACAGGAGATCTTCCAAGGAAGCCAAGGGATTTTAAGTGAGCAGGAGCCAAAGACTCACAGTTGGAGCTCAGCCAAGGCCTTTCGAGTGTCACCAGTGACCATCATCCTGGACACGTATCCCGAGTCCAACATCTTCCACAGCCCATAGAGCAAGATGATGGCTCTTGTCCTAGGACTGGGTCAGCGGGTCAAAGACCCTCCCTATCTTATCCTCACTCCGACCGAGGAGACCCCATGGGATACAGATCTGCAGTTTGGCTTTTAATCACCAGGATGCACACTTTGTTTCCACTTATAATTATGCATTCTAATACGTGTTAATTATGGAATGCAAATAGCTCAGCATTAAATTTGCAAGAGAAAGCACCCCCTGCTCTCCTCCCCGCACACGGCCGGCTCCAGGGAGCCGTCTCTCCGGCCAGCTGCTGAGCTGCAGGACAAGGTCTCCCGGGACAGGAAGGTTTCAGAGCCCGCACGGAGCAGGGACGGGCGCCCGCCCGGCAACGCGCTCCTCTTCGGAGAGGAGATGACAGGGACGGTGACCCAGGGGAAGCAGCCAGCTCTGCAATTAGTGACAGCCAGCAAAACAAACAGGCGCACGGCAGCGGAGGCAGGAATAAATTCCATCCCCTTGGGCTGCAAGTTCTGCCTGCGCTTCCCAGCAGTATCCGCGTCACTCAAAGATGGGATGGAGCGAGCGGATGGAGCGACTACTGGGTGCAATTAGGTTTCGCTGAAGACAAGGATCTCCCTGCCCTGCTGCTGGGGGTTTGCAACCAGGATGTCCCATAAACAGGTCAGAACCGAGGGACACCTAAAGCCCCTTTGGGGGCTACAGGGTTCTTGCCCACAGACACAGCACACCTGGAATTACCTAGAGAGAAAAGAAAAAAGGCACATGCTAATCCTGACGCTATGGGCTGCACTGAAGGGTTGGGCCAGACTCTCAGATGGACTTAAAAAAACAGCATTTGCTCAGTATTTTCTGGGCTTTTATAGAGAAGCATATCTGTTATTGCTGACATTGATTCGTCTGGCTCAGGCAGCAGAGAACCAATAATTACTGTGAGTTTTAATCAATCCCACATCAATTCAGCCGCAGTTCAATTTGTGATCTACCTTGGCAGTGACACAGGATGGGGGTGTGTGTCTGAAAATGATTAGAAAATCAATAGGTAACTCGGCCAATAATTCTGTCTGGGCAATCACGGGTGACACATTCCTCTCCGATCCATCCACAGCGGCTGCTTCGTGCATGGTGAGAACCAGCAGGATACGGCACCACCGCAGCAGCAGCCAACTAACCCTGTGCACCATGCAGAAGGAAAAAAATAAAGAGGTATTTATACATTTTGTCCAGAGTGGCAAAGAGATGCTACAACCACTAGCCAGCTTTTTCAGAGCAGCACACTGTGGTTTGCCATGATGAATGTGGCCCATGGACACTGACAGCCAAGGGAACTGGGCTGAAACTCTTGGAGCATCGTCCATTGAAGGATCTAGCTGGTAAGCAGCAAATGAATTCATATCCCAGGCTGGGAAGTGGTTTTGGGACTTAAGCAAGTGTGCTGAGAGGAAAGCAGAGGTAGGGAGAGACTAAAGGCTGCTGTTCTGCTCTGAAAAGCCATGGAGAGAATACCCCCAAACAAATAAGAGTGCTACCATCTTGCAAACCTACTCGCAGGGTATTCTCTCTGCAAACTGTTCTCAGGAGCAGGAAGAAAGCTCACCTTCCTGCCCATCAGCACCGACACGGGGGATGCCGCAGGCTGCGCCTGGGGCACGGCTCCTGAGCAGCAACCGCGGCGCCGCTCCGCGCCCGGGCTCACGCTCGGCCTCGTGGGCGACGCAGGGCGCGTGGGAGCAGAGGGGTCTGCGTGTTTACCATGACGGTCAGCAAAAAGGACACTGAATACGCACAAGAAACAGATACGCTGAATACGAAAATGCTATTTTTACTTGGTTTTCTGAGAACTGTCTTCCATCTCCCTCTAAATGATATCCAAGGTCACAGAAACCAGGAGAGGAACCCGGAGCCCTGCCATCCCCAGTCCCTGCCACTAGCCCCCAGAAGCCCGTGAGAAGCTTCCTCATCAAGACACGGGACTGTTGCTGGGTCCGAGCTGGCCGTGCCCGCAGCAGCCAGCGCTCCTGGTCCCACCAGAGCAGAGTGTCTCCAGCAAGACTCGCCACCCCAGCAAACCCAACCCCATGAAGCTCGTTTTGAAGATAAAGTTCAACTGAAAGCGTTGCAAGAGGTTCTTCAGAAAACAAGTGTCTGGCCCCATCGCTGTTTGCATCAGTGACACAGGCCCCTTCTTCCCGTGGTGCTTACAAGGCTCATTAGCAACGAGGCGGGTGCTGGGGTCACTGGAGGCAGCAAGGAACCAGCCTCATTACTGAGCCGCAGCCCCGGCGAGGGGAAACCAGCTCGGCCTTGCAGCTGCCCAACAGGGCTTTGCAGCTCCGCTTCTCCATCCTGTTATTAAGTCTCTTTTAAAAAGATTTTTAATAGTGTTTCTGCAGAGAGTAAACTGCCCTTTATTCTTCTGCTGTTTTCTCAACATCAGCAGCCTTTTTGCCTGGGATCAGAGGCCAGATTTCCCCTCATGCCGGAGCTGAGGCTGAGCCATGGGATGGGCCTGGGGGCTCCCAGCTCCTCCAGGTGGCCAGGAGGGAGCTGTCACTCATGTCTGTGTCCCCAGTGCCACCCCAAGCACCATGGGGTGACCGCGGTCATGTTCCTGAGCGAGGCTACTGCTGCCACGTGGCCACCAAGCCAACAGGTGACCCTGCTGGACGTGCACGGGCAGCAGCGATGGTACCAAACCACTGCAATGCATCAGCACTTGCTTCTCTGAAGCCAAAATCAAGGCAGCTTGAGGAGATGCTGTGGCTAAACCCTGTCCTGCAAGAAGGACTGAGCTCTGGAGGGTGCAAACAGCCAAGAGCAGCATCTGTGGGACACCATGAGGAGAAGAGGGCTGGTGCCAGTGAGACCCTCAGGGAAACCCCATCTAGAAAGCCAACTCTGGAGCAACATGGGTTTATCATTTAAATTGGCTATAAGCCCTC